TGTGAGAGCAGCAAGGTTCGATCCGCGTGGACATCGCGTTCTTCAAGGACAATGCCCATCAGCTTTTCAAATCCACCATGGTGCTCGTAGCGAATGAGGGATAAAGTGTCACGTCAACCAACGCAGACTTGAAGATCGTGCGGAGATGAGAGCTCCGCTACTATGATGTTGGATGGCAGAGAGCCTGCAGGCTCATTTTTTTGGTACTAGCTGTTGAAAACGGGCTTGTGGTCTGCTTCATGCCGGGCAAGGCGTTTTGGACTGGGGCTTTGATCTCATCTTTGGTGGAACAGTATTCGATGTCGGTCGAAGGATCGTGAGTCAACGCCAGGCCTCGGGGGTCAGTTCTGGCTTGACCTTGTTGCTTCCACTGATGCCTATACCGACGAGGCCTGCGGTCTTGGAGAAGCGGTTGAGAGCAAGGCGTCGGCGAGTTCGGGTTGTAGTACTTCAACCAGTGTGTTTCAGGCGGAGCGTGTGCGGATCCCGTGTTCCGAAGACCACCCTATATACAACGGGACGTTCACGGGACGTTCACGTCTGGGGCCGGCGGGCCCGTGCATAGCTGCGTCAGCAGGTACGCCCCGACCCCTGGGCAGGTTCCCATACAACTTCCTGGTGTAGGCCGCCGGTAGGGTGCTATCAATTTTTCGCAGGTGACCGCCTTTGATTGATGCTTCTCATTCCCATTGAGCGCGGATTTTGTCCCGGATAAGCGCTCTCTTCCTTGTCAGTAAAGGGCGGAAGGGGTGTGTTTTGCCCGGGCTTGCCGCGTCTTTGGCCAACCGATCTGCTCCGTCGTCCCCTGGATCGTCGTAGTGTCTGGGTATCCATTGGAGACGAAGCGCGATTCCCTTTGCTTGACCTCTGCGACCGCCTGGAGGATCGCGTGGATAATGCGTTGTCCTGACTTGTTTCCTGGGTTCTCGATCGCCTGGAACGCTGACTTGCTGTCGCAGAGGATCGTTGCCGTTGTTGTTCCATTATGTTCCGTTCTTGGCCGCTGATGGCTTATCTTGAACACTGTACTGAGAGCGTAGAAAATGCCTATCAGCTCTGCTACGTGAACCGACCGTCGGTCCCACCTGGACCTGCTGGGGTTCGATGACCTCTAGGTTCTTGTCGAGTGCAACGACAGTAGCGCCTAGGTGGCCTTCACGTCCCCAGGCATCAGAGTAGACCACGATGGCGGATGTGGACCCTACGGTTTCTGTCCGCTCTCTTGCCGTCTCTCGGTCTGACCCGATCTCGATCTCCGTGAAGGACTCGGCTCACCATGGCAGTAGCGGTCGTGGGTCGATCGTCTCTAGTTCATCTAGTCTTTCTAGGTTCATGGTCTTCAGGGCTTCTGCCAGTGGGAGACGAGCGTACGACCCGACATTGTTCCTACGTTTCTGGGCTCGCCGTAGTATATCCCAAATAGGATGATCGCGCGGCAGAGTCTGAAGGCTTGCAATGGTGTTCTGTGCTCGGTGGCGGAGGCAGGTGCGTTGGCAAAATATGTGCTTCTACTTCCGGAGTCGTGGTGGCCACTGTCCTGAAAGCTAATAGGATACGGATTAATGCGGTTCTCTGGACTGTGTTTAAGTGTCGTAGGTGAGTCTTATCTCTGGCGATACAGTACCACCTTCAATCTACGTGGATCTGAGCAAATTCACGTTCATACCAGAGAAATTTCGTATGGGTTCGTCATTAAGTCTCTTGAAGTATGCGAGCCCACGCTTTAGTCTCGAGGCTGTGATTCTTGTAACATACAGGTACAAATGTGAGAGAGAAGGAAAAGAACTAAACAAGAATGACTCAGCACTGTCAGCACACAGTTAGCTTGAGTGACGCTGAAATGGTGTGTGGATTTACTGTTATCCAAGTGTTTTCGAAGATGAGCTCGTGCGCGCGCATTGTTGGCAAGACTATTAACAAATTGCATGTCTGTTCCGCCTTGGCTTACTTGCTTCTCTCGCTAAAAATGCACAAACTTAGCGACAATGTGGATATTATCTAGATATACTTGGCATCTCACGAGGTTTCCAATTTCGTCACTAGCACCCAGACAGGCATCGTTCCATTCTAGTTCGAGATACCTCAGAAGAAGTTGGAAACTGTGGTATGTAGATTCAGGAGTCCACCCATGCGGCAATTTGTGATCTGGAAATCTGCTGAAAAACGTGTTGGCCTGGCCTTCAATGGTTCTGATCCGTGACGCCCAAAGGGTCTTCATGGACATCGCCTGAGTCCTGGTATTGAGGAGAATCAATAGATATATAGTGACTGCAAAGTCTTTAGACTCTTTCGGCATACTGATTATGGCTCATTTTGATCTTCGAAGCCTCCTCCTGCTCGAAGTAATCCTGGCAAACTTGTCAATATGCCATTTTATGCACAAGACTAAAAGCCTGTCAGTGGAATGAACGGTATAGCAACTCCGCACTCACAATGTTTACATTCTTTTCGGGTAAGTACCAGTCACATCGGGCGTTACCAATAGGTTTGTAGTTGAAATCCTTGCCTTAGGAATTTTTGTTGATTCGGACCCAATAGGGCATTTTGTTTTCGAGTTTGAACCACTCAAATGACTGTACGCCCTGAACATGGTCCAATGATTTGAGAAGCCGGTTGATGATGTTCTGATGCCCAGTTATGTAAACTACATCGTCACCCGTATATTCGAGGCGAAGAGCACTCATTCATATGCTTTGGCACCGCCGGACTTACTATGCGAACCGGACCCTCGAACTTGAGGACTTCTCGGAATGATATACCAGTACAAGGCCATTAAAAGAGCATTGCAGACTGGCATTCAATTCTGGTACATCAGACTGTCGTGTACTAACCGAGTTCATCGCTATTTAGGTTCGGCGCCGTAAACACGAACAGCAAATGACCCGCAGAAGTTCACAGTCTATGCCGTTAGACATAAATATCGTCAACAGGGCCTGCTTGCCAAAGGTCTTAGAAATTTTTCTGTTTGGTTGCGCTAATTCCAAATTTTTTTGTAGTTGACCTGCGCCGTATCTGCCTCAGCGAGAGCACGTGCAATTGCCGCGATATTCTTGATCTGATTCATCGGCGGTCAGTAAGTTACATATATGCCCAACAAAATGAAACTCACCTTTCGTTCATTGAGAGCTAAGGACTCCAAACGCTGGATGTCATCCTCCTCAACCGCAGTCAGTCCTTGCATTGTTCAGGCTTTATGACAAATAGGTGATCCAGAGACCCATGCAGAAGTCTCTTGTTAGATCCTCATGCTCAAATATTAACGAGTTCGGCTCAGTCCTGCGTCATCAAAATTGATACCCCGATTTGAGGTCAAGAACAGCAGTCCCCGATAATACTCAATTATGACAAGAGAAAGGACGCAAATGCAATCCCAAGATGGGCACCCATCCCGTCGGCAGATTCACTTCAAAAAGGTGTCAGTTTTAAGTCTAATATTGGGATAAAGTCCGAAATGTTGAGTTATGCAATAAATTAGCTTGTGTCGGAGGGCAGGACTAGACTGTGCAGGTGTTTTTCGAGCGCGGAGTGGATATGAATGCCCGGGGCCGATAAACGGACATGCCCTACAGGCTGCTTGTGATGGACAACACGTGTGAATGCAGTATATCCTGTTCCCCAGAAGTGCGGGAAGCTCAATCTGATCAATACCACATAATTTACCCCAACATGTAGTTTGCTATCACCGAGACAAATAGTATGCCATAAAGGAAAAGGGTGATTAAATAACATATGCCCACTGACATGTGGTTCGATCAAGGATTACCGATGCGGAAATGACTGTCGTGGCCACTCTGTTGGAGATTGCCATTTCTTGGGTTAGGAATTCTCCAATATACTGTCCGTCTGTCCAATTTTGGGACATGTTAACGTGGAATACTTCCTCGATATGCCTCGCAAAGTGATATAGTCGATTCGTATGCACATCCAGTCTTCCCTCGATACTCAATTTCAGCAGCGCGACAAAAGCCCAAATCTTCTGGAGCAACTTGCTGCCCTTCGAACGTGGTGCAAAACTGTTAAATCGTCAGCGCATCAGGGGCAGTGACAGTGCATTCCCTGCACAATAAGCCGTAGCGTGTACGCACGATGGAACTAAGGGGGAACCAGAACCGAGCAAGTAGCAGTTGCGACAACTCCTAACCCAGCTAACCATCCCAGGAAAACGGCATGTTCTTGTATATCATCCCTTTTCTTGAATTGATAGCTGATGCAGCAAATTGACGTATTATGAACAGCAAGTCGCTTGTCTCAAGACGCCTTCAAGATGATCGGTGGAACAAGCTATCCAGCTGTTACTTGCTACCCAAAAGGTCAGCCCTGTTTCAATGATCCATAAATGCCGTCTTATCGCGTTCCAGACAGCTCGCTTATGGTCCGGTGAAGCCCACCAGCCGTGAATAGAAATTCTGCGGAAAGATCCCGGTGTGCGTTGTGCAGCTCGAACTCGCTCTGGCGAAAGAGTTAGCTAGGTGGAAAGGAACTTTACCTTCAAAACGAACCACATTATATCGTCGAACCACTGCCCCATTATTCCTCTTCATGAAAGAAAGCGCCTTTTCGAGAATTTTGATTGCTATGTCGTCATTTGGACTGTTGCTGCGGCCAGCTTGAAAATTGGTCCCCAAAGCATGGCACGGACTCGGCTCAGTTGTGTTCTTTCCCACAACTGTCGAGTCGTAGGGCGGTCAGGGGCTCATGCTCGCAATGATTAAGGCGAGATCGGGGCTCAGGGGTATATGTTCGATATCCCTCGACAAGGTTGCTCGTTCCTGTGGGCGCTCACGCTGATATGTTATATTTCGAGTGTGTTGTTCTCACGCCCCACATGTTGTGGGTTGTTTCCCTGGTGACGCGCATTGCCATGAATCACCAAGTTTGCCGGCATACGTAATCACGAGATTCAACGCTGCACTCTCAGCCAGTGAGACCAGTGAACCTCCACGCCAATGACCCAATCCAACCCATCCTTTTCTTATCTCTATTCTACATGAATTCAAACTATGCGCGACGACTGTATACTGGACTGGCTTCACTCTGTTGACTCGACTAATGATCAATCCTGCGAGCGACCGCCCAAGCGACCGAGATTGAACAATGGGTGCGCGCCCAACGAATCTATCCATAGCGATTTTGGAAAGATACAGGTCAAGGGAAACGATCCTAGATCACGTCTGCAAACGCCCTCGACTTCCGGATCTGGATCTGTGCCTCGACAGAGGTACCTCAGCATGACCAGCAAGCGCCCCCGGGACCTTGACGACGGCCGACCGGTGGATGATGCAAGACAAGCAAGACAGTCCACGGAACTCTCTCTTCTTCACACAGAACTCACCCCTCGCCCTCGACGATCACCGACGGCCGCTCTAGATCACGGCGTGTCTCTACCTTCATCACCCTCTCAGTCCAGGACATCTCCGTCATTGGCCTCCTCCAAAGCCTCTAAAATTTCTCGCAATTTGTCCCCCACGAAGCAGCTACGAAAAGCAGAGCTAGAGGAGACGGGTTTTTTAGGGCAAGCCTCCGCGACGACAAGAAACCAAAGTCACTACATGCTTTAGCTGAAGAATTGAAGATGATTAATGGTGGTTTCGGCATCCTTCCCAAAGAGCTGCAAGACGAGGTACGAGCCGCGCCCCTCCGCTGCCCTGCAATGGCTAGCTTAGTTCATACTCATACTCACATTCACAGCTTATGAAGGACGACGATTCTTTCGAGTTTTGGAACTTTGGAGATCGTCTGGGACTGGGAACGACGTGTTTCCCCGATCTGAGCACCGTGCGGCAGATCTATGATTTGGCAAGACGATGTTTTAAGAACAACCACCCCGAATCATCTTGGAATAACGATGTGCACTCGCGCGTTTTGAACTGGGTTTTACGAGACGGTCCGTGCAAAGATGATATCGTAGACTATCGGTGCTGGTATGCGCAACTTCTTTTCTCGTTTTCTGGCCAGTTGATCATCCCTGTTAACCCTCGCGCAGCCTCACTGCCCAGATCGCCCCCGAATACCAACCCATCAATTCGCGGAGCAAGATGGTCGACTACTGCTTCTGTATTGAGCCCAAGACAAACTCCCCGCAATACCGGACGATCGAGTCGCTCTGCAAAAAACGCCCGGGAAAGTCAATCAACCATACAGACTGGGCTGACTTGACCAAGTACCCCATTGCTATTTCTATCGAGACCAAAGGTCCCAGTATAGGGTACGAGACCGCACTGCTGCAGGTGGCTACATGGCACTCGGCCCAGTGGCGTAGTCTGTGCTGGGCCAAACAAGACATGAATCTTTTGACATTCTCGTGTCAGATTGAATTTCTTCCTGGTATCATCGTCATGCAGCACCACTGGTGGTTTGTGGCAACTGCGTTGAACGAGGGCGGCAAGGCGCAGACGTTTGAGCGATTACTGTTGGGTGAAACTGAATCCTTACTGGGCATCTATAAGCTATCAATGGCGCTCCAGAAGCTGGTCGAGTGGGCGCGAGATCAGTACTGGCCAGCATTCCAATCTGACGTTCTGGGACTCTGAGTGGCCGCTTAGATCTTGTTGAGCGCGGACTTACCAGCTGTACCAGAAGCGGGGCGAGATCCTTCGGTCGGCAATCATTGGGTTACAAACTTCGTGAAAAGGCATCCAATCCTCTCCTCCCGATTCTCGAAAGGCTATAATTACGCGCGCGCAAAGGTTATTACGAGAAAGGAATACTACGGTCGGCGAGCACTTTTACAACCCGGAAATCGCGCGTGGGTGACTACAATTGAGTGTATAACGCGTCGGGTTGGGCGCTTCCTCCGTGCGTGATTTTTAAAGGCAAAGTCTTTATCGAATCTTGGTTCGACGGCCTCCCGGACGATTGGCGCCTTGAGGTTAGTCCGAACGGCTGGACTTCTGATGAAATTGGTCTTCGGTGGCTTAAAAAGCTCTTTATTCCGTCTACTTCTTCGCGTACGAAGGGGAAGTATGGAATTTGATACTCGACGACGGCCACGGAAGCCATTTAACACCGGAATTCGATCAAATTGCGAAAAAAACGATATTATCGCAATTTGTAGCCTCCGCACTCGTCTCACCTTTTACAGCCTCTCGATATCGGCTGTTTTGCGGTGTTAAAGCGCGCGTACAGTCGGCTTAGCGAGTCAAAAATTCGTGCTAGAATCAACCATATTGCTAGGCTAGACTTCCTCGAAGCCTACCCGTCCGCGCGAATCGAGGCATTTAAGTCGGAAACTATTAAAAATAGCTTCGCCGCTACACCCCGCTTAGCACACGTCCTAGTGTGTTTACGGTACTTTACAATAACTCATTCGATGGTGAAATTTAATATACTATAATACGCAACAAAGATAGATAGGGGTTGTTTACTGAGTAACGTATTATGGACTAGCGGGGTTCCGGTTACAGCCTGAGAAACAGCGCGTGGTGTCCAGAGGGGAATCTGTTTTTGACTCTTACTAGTCATGATTCGAAGATGTCTGCTTTGAATTTTTCACCTACTAGAGTTAGCGTGCTCCGGTAGTGACGCAATCCCAGTTCCAATCACGCCAGCTCATTATGATCGTAAGTGTATTGACTCATCTCCTAAACGACGTCATATGTGTACGTGTCCTTGTAAGACGCCCGTTCGGGAAACACGAGGTCACAACGACTTCCGCTTCCGCACACCATCAGGTGGAGTTCTGACAGGCACATACTTATCCAGGACTCTGCGTCTTTCCTTTCCCCAAAGATGCCGGTCGTGTTCGAATGTATTACATACGACGTATATATAGTTCATAAGGAATCCAAAAATGGCGTTTGCTGGGTACGGCAAGTTCGGTTACCCTCAGACTGGGACCCAGTTCCGAAAATAACCTTCAATCGTCCACCAAATTCCTCCATACGTGTAACAGACCCTGCTACCTTAGCACTGGCTTAATCATCTAGCTCCTCTCTCTGTACAACCTGCCAAATCATGGTCCAATATAGTCCAAGAAACAATTTGTCAGTAGGAATCTGTTTTCGAATTTTGTTGTAGGGGGTTCTAACTGCAGGCCAAAACAAAGGACGCTGAGGATGACGCCCATAAAACACAATCGCATGGCTGGCTTCCAGCCGTTCTTGGTAAAGAAAGCGGTTACAAGGGATACAGTTGTAACGAAATTGTCCATTTTTAGGTGCTCTAAAAAGTGAATCGACGGACTAGTAACCTACAGGTACGCATTGTTGGGTGTGGAGGCTTATTTGGCTGCTCGATTGCATCTGCCGTGGTTTCAATAGGCTAATATTGGCTAACTCGGCTACTTTGGTGCTCCGTGTCTAAACTCGATCTTTGGGTCAAGTATTAAAATCTTTTGACATCTCGACATTCCAGTGCTTCTTGGTAGATCTGTTAGACCGGGATTTGTCTCGTCATGAACACCCGTATTCTTGCCATTATCTTCTTAACTTTGCCAGCCGTGTGGGCTTCTTCGGGTTATGCATCAACCGTTGAAGACTGTAGCATTCAATATTTTGATGGTAATAAAAACAATCCAACTTTAGATTGCCAAAGCTGTAGAGCTGTAGCTATGATACATGGTTTCTGGCAATCATGTAGGATGCCACTAAATATGTGCTGTGTCAATATTAACGGCAGCATAGTGGCGCAGAGAAAGTATCAATTGCCCCGTTATTTGTGATGGAAATAATCATCAAAGCAAAGCTAATCTATTCTTTCAATCATGATCAGCGGGGGTATGGGTTATTCATGCACCAACATCGAGTTAGAAGGTTCCATAGTTTCCGCCAATTGCAGTGGTACAAGCAAAGCTCGAATTGACCTAAGTATGCAGTTCATTATCTTCTAATTATAAACGCTGTTCGGTATTTGACTTTTATAGACAACTATATTTCGAACGAAAACGGAGTCTTAGCATGCGAGGGCTACAAACATATAGTCTAAGACCGAGGAACGAGATAATGAAAAAGGATGATAAATTTATCTACTGAGAGGCATAGCTTCATAGCCCGTGGAACTCCAGGGCTAGTTATTAGTTAGTTGGTTATTTAGTTAATGCACAATAGGTTGGAATTAAGGGTTTACCAGGTGTCGATTTCGATCTTCTCGTGACCCGGGGCGGAGCTAGGAATTGAAGAATCGCTGTCATTGTGATTGTGTGAAAGGGGAATAGTCGACCCACCACCCATGGGCACTGACCTCGGGAGTCTTGTGCCACTTGCGACATGGATCGGCGACACGACAGATCGGGATTTGGTCAAGAACTTCTGATGACACCAAAGTCAGACAGCCGAAGTCGAAAACAGATTATCACTGTTCCCTTCAGAGCATATCGCAAGCCCCTTATTCGACAAGCTTCGCAACAAGATCAGAGGCCATTTCCCCATGATCATCCAAAATATGCCGAAATCGAGAATTCTCCACCAGTGTTCGCGCCTCACATGAGATATAGAGAACGACCAACATTCTAAGGGAACAACATCCATTTGGCTCTTGTCTGCCTGTCTGCTCATAGGTATATTCCAGCAGGTCAAGGATATGTGTCATGCGCCCGCTAAGAGAAAACTTGCAAAGGTCGCGATGCAGTGACTTCAAGCACTGTTCTCTTAATGGGTCAACGAGATATCGTGTCGCAAACACATATACCTTTGCATGAGCAAGAAGGTCGGGGCTAGGAGAAATTGTGGCCTCATCTCCAACAAAGTGAAGACGTCTAAACTGATTCCATTGGCGTTTATATGGACATTGGACATAGATTGATTTCGCGTATTCGATCTCTAGCGGAAATGAAGAACAGTAGTACTTTCTTTGCGCTTTCTTGTTGAGCGTTCCCCACTCGCACTCGCAGGGGTATACAACTTTTGGCCCTGGCTGGTTCTGGCTCTGATTCTTGCCCCGGTTCTGATTCTTGTTGTAGATTGCTGTCTTTCAGTTGCACTCCGCCTAATTTGGAAATAAGTAGTTTTCCTTGAGACAAATTAACCTGTACTTACTCTCTGCACCGAAATGGCTATCATTATCTTTGTCTTTGCGGCAAGGCGTAGCGTAAAAAGCCACGTGTGTTTCCATGGTCATGCAAATTGCTTACAATGATGACTTGTTGGCGTACAGTGTTCTAGCACTAAGTGGCACATTTGTTGTTTAGGTCGGAAGGGAGATTCAGCGGCCACCCTTCCCACCAGATGAAATAAACAAAAAAATTACACAATTTATCCTTATAGTTTCTCATCCAAGCAATATATAGATGGACTCATTAGTTTGCCTTTCAAGGCGTGTTTACCAACCCCACCTCACATAATCTTTTTTCGATCGAATGTTCGCGCTCCAATAGCTGAAGACGAAATTGTTATAGAACAAAGGTGGCTTCTATTGTCGAACGAGCTCAAGGCCATCCACAATAGAAATTCACTCTGCCCCTTTGCAAGCAGATCAACTGGATACGAGACTTCTTGTTGAATAGATGTATCTAAACCGGTATACCGGTTTTAGAACCTTATATACAGGGTATAATGGAAACATATAAACTCAGTCAATTCCACGGAACCAGAGGGGTTGCTCTCCCAGCAAATTAAACAAGGATGGTTCACTATATCCACGTGTATGGCAGGCAGCATGGTGTTACTAGGGGTACTACATACCAAAACCTTCATCTACTAGAGCAGGCTATTGAGCACAAATTGGGAGAATGCTTCATGCCACGGGATCCGCTATCACCAGGATCGTTGTTATCATCGTTGGCAATGATATCTACTTGAGTCACGTTATGCTTACTCATGACTATCTAAGATATAAAAAGCGCGGTTTTGGCTTCTGTTTCCGATGCGTTGGCGTGATATGCACGGTTCAGACAGTTTTGTACCCGAAGTCGTCGCTGAATTTTATGCTTGCAAGCAGATTTGATGACTGTGGCTTCTGAATAGGCGGTTTAGGCGGCTTCCCTGGTGTAGGGTGCAAAAATAAAGAGACACAAGAAATAGATGGACTGGTTGAATGTGCAAGAAGAGGTACAATGCGTCTCGAAACCGGCGTCACCACCTACGCTCTTCGATTCTTTCTCCAAATCAGAACGCCGAGATCAGCCAACCCGTGTTTGGGATAGTCTCGAGATATGGATATTCCGGTTTCGTAAGGTATACAGTAAGTTACTCTAAATAAGATATATACTAGAGATGAGCCCCATGCGCAAGCCCTTCGCCATTCTTCTATTTTCTATCTCCGTTCAGCTAACATCCGACATTGGGCACCCTGCTCTCCTGCAGGAGGAAAAGAACACCATCCCGGTCGGTTTGCAAGCTCCGAATCTCTGAAAGAAACAATTCCACGTTGTCCGCCGTTCCAGAGCGAAGCCTAACTACGGTGTAGAGCAATGCTTGACGCAATGCGGATGACTCGCCGCTATAAGACTTGCGCCTGCGATCACTGCTGGGATCATATATGCATTGACATCCTTTCGCCGTACAGTTCGCGCATGGGGTTGTGCCGGAACACTAGATCCTTTTAGCACTGGACAAGAATGAATTTATTACTCTCCTACCTTTGTCCGTTTTTGGCG